ACAACACTGTGTGAGAGATCTCCCTTCTCTTTTCAAATAGCACCGCGGGATCTTCAACAGCCAACTGAACAGGCAGACAGGACCTTGGTTTAACATACAATAATAATCCCTGTATTTGATAAAGCGCCTTATCACGTCTTCTCGACGTCTCAAAGTGATTCATGGGATATACAGTAAGGTGTAGTGACTGTGTGCTTTGTGGGTCGAATGGCCTCCGCCTCCTCTGTGCCAGTTCGGGATTTCATGGCTTCCAGATGTAAGCGGGGGAATCCCCCTAACCTCCAGATGTTGGCGAGAAATCCAATCCCGGGTTATTTAGGGCCAACCGATGTCAGAGCGTGGAATCCCGTTCCAGGCTCAACTCCACAGATGCCAGGTGGGATTCCCGACCACAACACTCACGCTCCACAGATGTTACACAGCTGCTCTGTGGCTGATGTAGTGTATGTGTGCGCGTGTGTGTGTGGGGAGGGGTAATGAATTTTTTATTTGGTCACAGGCGGAAACCTATCATCGTGCTTAAGAATATCCAAATCCAACTGAGATTTCCATGCATTTCACCTTCACATGGAAATCCCAGAGATACATTGTTGGAATGGAATGTGTACTCTCTCTCTCTCTCTCTTTCTACATCCTTGAAGGGACCCACTCTGCTTACCTAATTCCGGAGAGTCTTAGACATAGGTTGGCAAGAGCCAAGGCTTGGGGGCAGCCCAGAGTGTGCGTTGGGGTAGCTGCTGGAGTCTAACCAGCTAAAATCCCATAGCTTGCCATTGATATCGCTGCCTGGCAAGCCTTCCTGCTGCTTATCCAGCTAGGACCACTCTGCCTGTTAGGGCTTGGTCCCACAAAGGGATCACATTTTCAGCATAAGAGGCCATTCAGCCACGGTGTCCGCCCCTCTGAGATCTTTCTTTTCCATCCCAAGTAATTCCAGCTTTTCCAACCCTTTGTCCATATTCCCCAATGTTTTTGCTGCTCGGTTTATCCAGTGCCCTTTACTGAAGGGATTCGATTAGTAGAGGTGAACTTCACCAAAGCTGTGTGGCCACGAGGGGGCGATGGTAGCAGAGCACTGTCCATTGAGGGGAATGGGAGAGAGGGGAAGAGTGGGGGGGAAGGAAGGGGGAGAGAGAGGTGTAAAGAGAGATTGAATACAAGAGAGTGAGAGAGAAGGAAGAGAAAGGGAAGAGAGACAACAAGAGAGGAGAGATGGAGTCAGAGAAAGATAGGGAGAGGGAGGGAGAAAGATGGGAGTTTAGGGTCAGAAGGGAGCAAGAGGGAGGAGAGACAGGAAAGAGACAATGCAATAGTAATAATTCCATTTGATATCATGCCTTATCACGTCATCAAGGTGTCTCAAAGCACTCCACAGGGCTTTAGAGTGAAGTGTAGTGACTGTGTACATGTAGAACCAAGATGGACTGTCACAAGCTCAAAGTCTCGCTGTGGGGCTCGAACCCATAAATTTCTGACTCAAGAGACGAGTATGCCAGCGACTGAGCCAGGCTGACACCTCGAGACTGTTTGGGGGACACTGCTGTGCGCAATAGGCAGCTGTGTTTCGCCCACAAAATATTCACTTTACAGTATATTCTGTGAAGAGCTTTGAGACGTCTCGAAGACGTGATAAGGTGAAATGCAAGGATTATTATTATTATATTGCTCACTCGTAGTGAAAGCCCAACCCTCGTGGAACCAGCGCAAACACATTTACATAAATGCGTAAATGTATAACATGGAAATATATCACGAAACATACCCTTTCCTCTCCCAACAAACTCGGAATCTCCCATTGTCATGCAACATCAATTCAACTGGTGTTAACATTCAGCCAAGACACACACTCACCAACGCCAACACACACACAGTCACAGCTCATTCAGATCAGCTGAATCCAGCTCCCATATCCTGTGCTGTGTTTCCGACGGTTAAAGGCAAAGCCTGACAAGCGACGCAAGCACAAAGTGCCTTTATTACGCACAAGGTCCCCTCTTCCATACGACATGGCTGATGTGTCATAGCTTAAATGGCTAATACAGTGAGTGAGTGATTTTATTTGGGGGATTGTTGTCCAGGACACCGGGAGAGAGAAACTTCCCTTTTGCCACAGCACCGCGGAGATTTTTAATGTCCACCTGGACAGGCTCAGGCGGGAAACCCGGTTTAACGTCTCATGTGAAGGGCGGCACCTCTGACAATACTGCGCTCTCTCTTTTCCCCCAGCGCTGGAGCATCTGTTTGGACTGTGAGCTCAAAGCCCCTGAGGTGGGGGCTTGAACTGACAACCTCCTGACTCAGATGCAAGAGGGGCAGTGGCTGAGTTGGATCCCAAACACACTCATCATCATCATCATCATATCCTTACATTTGATACAGCACCTTATTACGTTGTGGAGACATCTCAAAGAGCTTCACACGACATACGGTAAAGTGTAGTGACTATATTTTGTGGGCGAAAAGCGGCAGCCGATTGCACACAGCAGTGTCCCACAAACAACCATGGACTGAGAGAGAATTATTTATTTTGAAGGGATTATTACCCGTGGAAAGCGATCCACCAATCGACTAACAACTGGATTCCTGCTGACTGCTGGTAAACAGAGGTGTGCAGAGCCAGGAAACTTGTCTAAGGTCTCGCCCTGCGGGGAATCAAACTGAACCCGGGTCCTCTCGCTTGCGAGGCAAACTGCGCTACGGGACTCTACACAGGCACATCACACAGACACACACACAGCACACAGACACACATACACACACAGACACAGACACACACACAGCACACAGACACAGCACACAGATACACACAGACACACACAGACGCAGCACACAGACACACACACAGCACACAGACACAGCACACAGACAGCACACAGACACACATACACACACAGCACACAGACACACACACAGCACACAGACACCACACAGACACAGCACACAGATACACACAGACACACACAGACGCAGCACACACACACAGGACACAGCACACAGACGAAGCACACAGACACAGCACACACACAGACACACAGACGAAGCACAGACACATAGCCACCCATAGACAAACACACAGACTCCTCGTCCGTCACAGAGAAGCTAAGTCATGAAGTGAGGGAGCAGCGATGACGTAACACAGTGCAGACAGCTGACCAGATGTGAGCGGCTGCCCTCAGTGAGCAGAAACCTCACGATTTGTGCTGATCCCATCGGAGGTCTGTGCACCAGACCAGCCTAATCCACTGCAACACGGCCCGACTTGTACAAATCACCGCACGCCACTTCGTCTACGATCAACACCGACCAAAATAGTATTAAAAGCTTCGGGGTCTAAAAATGACAGCTTGTGTCCCCAACTCCCACCCCCTTCTCTCTTCCCTCCCTCCCTCTCTCTCTCTCTCCACTCTCTTCCTTAACTACACATTTCTCCAATGAATCGGTGTAACATTGCTGGAAGTCTTTTGGGGGGGGGGGGGGGGGAGAGAGAGTGAGAGAGAAAGAGAGAGGGATGGAGGAGTGGGGGGGGGTTGACTACATACAAGAGTACCGCATCACACTGATGTACTGCTCATTACGCCATGCGTCAGCAATACATTCACGTTCTGACTGAAGGACAAAAGAATGAGAGTGCGGGCTGTGTGGGTCCCTGCAACACTGTCAAAGGAGGCAGAGAGGGAACGAATAGGGAGCATGTTGTCTGGACCAGCAGCTGTGCCTATAGCTGGCCAACACAGAGACTATTAAAGGGGGACAAAATACAAGAGAGAGAGAGAGAGAAGAAAGAACGAGAGACAGAAAGAAGGGAGAAGCTAAGTCGACACAGACACTATTAAGGGGGACAAAAAAACGAGAGAGAGAGAAAGGAAAGAGAGGAAGAGAGGAGACGAGAGGTCTGCCTGAACTCACTACTTCAACACAAAAGGAGACCACAGGATGCAACAGACAAGCTAGAGAGGAGCTTTGTTTTGCTCTGTGGTCAGGTCAGTTCTGCCAGCGTTAAGCAGACAGACTCGTCGCTGGAAGATTTTTTGATTTCATCAGCGCGAGCGAGAGGTAGCGAGCACTCTCTCTCTCCAGTGATCAGTCCCTCTCCAGCGATTGCTCTCTCTCTCTCCACTCCCTCCCTCCCTCCCTCCCCCCTTCCCTTCCCTTCTTCCCTCCCTCCCTCCTTCCCTCCCTCCCTCCCTCCCTCCGCTCAGCAATCAAAGGATTATTGCTAACTGTGCTTGCAGCAGCCGCACAGCTACTGGTGGAGCGCTGGCTCGGGGAAGCTGTTGACGGACGGACTGACTGACTTGACTGCAAAGAGTGGTTCGGAGCGAAAAAAAAAAGCCCACGCACGCACGGACGGGAGAGGAAGCTCTGCAACAGGGAGGGAGAGAGAGAGAGAGAGAGAGGAGTGAGTGACTGAGTGCTCCGAGGGAGAGAGAGAGAGCGAGAGAGAGATGGGCAGTGGAAGTGAGGCAGCACAGAGGAACGAGGAGCTCACCGCCTGCCTCTCACATCAGCGATGGAGCTCGGTCTCGATCTGGGGCTGTGTGGACAACCCCGGAGACTGCTGATGGCGCTGCTCGCCAGGGCAGAGAGCAAGCCAGCACCTGCATAAAGCCGGACAGACAGCCAGACAGACAGCCACGGAAAGGGCCTCGCCTCGCCTCGCCTCGCCTCACCTCCACCGGTCCCTGCTTTGAGCTCTGGATTTAATAGAAGCCATTTTGTGAACCCGATCTCTTTTTTTTATTATTATTATTATTATTATTATTATTATTGAGGAACACAACAACCTTAAGCAGCAGCGACGTCCCACCTTAAGGACACCGCGAGAGAGAGAGAGAGAGAGAGAGAGCGAGAGAGAGAGAGGATGTATTGGCATCTCTTGCTACAAACCAGGGGATTGCGTTCACTGTGGAGGTAGGTTTGACAGCTGTAGCCATTGCAACGCTACCCCCTCATCCCCCCAACCAACACCCACCCCCCCCCCCGACTCCCCGACCAGTCTTTTTTTTGTGCTGCGGTTTGACCGAGTGAGTAAGAGCCAATTCTCGGATCAGTGCCGATGCCCAGACTATGGTGAATTATGAATGTGCCACACCATGAATCTCCTGTGGCAGGTAACTGTGCATCACACCTGGAACGCTGCCCTGGTCCTGCTGTTCTACCTCAGCGCGCGGATGTGGAGTGTGTGTGCGGCGTCGGGCAGAGAGCAGAGCTGCCCCACCATCTGCTCCTGCAGTAACCAGTTCAGTAAGGTGGTGTGCACCCGCCGAGGGCTCAGAGAGGTGCCTCAGGGCATCCCATCCAACACCCGCTACCTGAACCTCATGGAGAACGACATCCAGCTGATCCAGGCGGATACCTTCAGGCACCTCTACCACATGGAGGTGCTGCAGCTCGGCAGGAACTCCATCAGGCAGATCGAGGTGGGAGCCTTCAACGGGTTGACCAGCCTCAACACCCTGGAGCTCTTCGAGAACCGCCTGACGGTCATCCCGAGCGGGGCCTTTGAGTCGTTCTCCAAGCTGCGGGAGCTGTGGCTCAGGAACAATCCCATCGAGAGCATCCCCTCGTACGCCTTCAACCGGGTGCCCTCGCTCCTGCGGCTGGACCTGGGCGAGCTGCGTAAGCTGGCCTACATCTCTGAAGGAGCCTTCGCCGGGCTGATCAACCTGAAGTACCTGAACCTGGGCATGTGTAACCTCAGGGACATGCCTAACCTGACCCCGCTGGTGGGCCTGGAGGAGCTCGAGATGTCCTCCAACCACTTCCCCCAGATCCAGCCCGGCTCCTTCCTGGGCTTGAAGTCCCTGCGGAAGCTGTGGCTCATGAACTCGCAGATCAGCGTGATTGAGCGCAACGCCTTCGACGACCTGACGGACCTGGTGGAGCTGAACTTGGCCCACAACAACCTGAGCTCCCTGCCCCACGACCTGTTTGCCCCTCTCAGGTACCTGGTCCAGCTGCACCTGCACCACAACCCCTGGAATTGCACGTGCGACATCCTGTGGCTGGCCTGGTGGCTGAGGGAGTACATCCCCAACAACTTCACCTGCTGCGGGCGCTGCCACACCCCGGCCCACATGAGGGGCAAGTACGTGACGGAGGTGGACCCCGGCTCCTTCCAGTGCTCGGGCCCCGTCATCCTGGAGCCCCCCCAGAACGTGAACATCTCCGAGGGCCGGACGGTCAAGCTGCGTTGCCGGACGGCGGACATGGCCTCCGTGCGGTGGCTTCTGCCCAACAACACGGAGCTGAGCCACGGCTCTGCCCACCCCCGGCTCTCCGTCTTCAACAACGGGACACTGCACTTCCTGCACGTGTTGCTGACGGACGCGGGAACCTACACCTGCACCGTGGCCAACATGGTGGGTGCCTCGGCGGCCTCGGCCCTGCTGCACGTCACCATGGCCGAGATCAACACGGCCAACTACACCTACTTCTCCACGGTGACGGTGGAGACCACGCCCGAGACGGTGAGGACTAAAGTGCCGCCGTTCCTGTCCACGCCGCCCACGTACAAGCCGGTGTTCATCTCCACGCCCACCGTGCTCCTGCAGAGCACCCGAAGCCCCCGGCCCGCCCTCGTCGTGCCCACCCCGGACTCCAGCGACCTGATCCGCGCCAGCCTGGACGAGGTGATGAGGACGACCAAGATCATCATCGGCTGCTTCGTGGCTGTGACTCTCCTGGCGGCCGCCATGCTGATCATCTTTTACAAACTGCGCAAGCGTCACCAGCAGAGGAGCACGGTGGCGGCAGCCAGGACTATAGAGATCATTAACGTGGAGGAGGAGATGGCGGGAGGTGGGCCGGGCGAGGGTGGGGGGGGCTCCGTGCCCTCTGTCCACGATCACATGAACTACAACACCTACAAACCAGCACACCGAGCTCACTGGACAGACAACAGCTTGGGCAACTCGCTTCACACCACCATCCCGGAGCCCTTTATTATACAGACACACAACAAGGACAAAGTTCAGGAAACCCAGATCTGACTTGGATATATATTATATCTCTATATATTATATATAAATGCAATAGAATGCACAAAAGGGTCAGAATTTTATAAAGAGTGCAACCAACTCCAGACTGTTTTTTTTCTTCTCTCTCTCTCTCTTGTTCATGCTTATATTAAAGCAACCCCTGGGCTGATGATGATTAAAAAAAAATTATATATAATAAACTATTTTCTAACCCGTAAGTTATATTTAAAGAGAAAGCAGTTTTTCTCGATGTTTCATGACGGGAGGGTGTGGGGTGGGTGGGATGGGATGTGCTTGTGTGTGTGTGTGTGTGCGCGTGTGTGTGTATGTATGGGGGTGGGGTGCGTTTGTGTGTGTGGGAGGGGGGGGGGGGAAGGGGTTGGGGGAATGGGGAGATGGGGGAATGGAATTGGGGGCTGGCTGGCTGGTATTGGAACAAACGAACAAGATACTGTAAAGCCACATTTATACCGAATCTCTTTCTAAACCCGATGAAGCAGACTTTGCAGGTTTAACTTGTAAAAGCACCAATTTGTACTGTGCCAAAATGTTAAAAGAAAAATGCAATAAAAAAGGGATTTTTTTTTGAGAGGTCAGAGTGGATTTAATCTGTAAAACAGGCGTCAGATACCCTTCACTGCATGTCTGTCTACTCCCTCCTCAGATAGAGGAGCTTTGCTCCCACCACCTCCTCTATCCCACCCCTCTCTCTCTGTCTCTCTCTCTCTCCGTCTCTCTCTCTCTCTCCCCCCCAACCAGTACACACACTCTGCATGTTGTTGTGTTAAAATGATGCAAGTGGCAATTAACTGTGCTAATTTGATTGGAAAATGAATAAGGGATGTGTTGGAATTTTTGGGGGTTCGGGGGGAGTGAGAAAGGAATACTGAAGGCAACTTAGAGAGAGAGCTGTACGCCAGCAATTCACTGCTCATTTAGAAAATACTGTGTATGCAGGACTGTCTTACTCAGTGGGAATGGAGAGACGGTGTGGGGTGGGGGGGGGGGGAGAGGCAGGCGGAGAAAGAAAGTAAAAGAGAGAGAGAGGGAGAGAGAGAGAGACAGAGGGTTTGTGAGGGGAGAGGTCAGGGCTGCATTGCTTATGACATTAAACCCCTTGCAAACTGTATGATTTCTTAAGCCAAAATATACCGTCAAATTACTTTATAGTGTATCCTGTGAAGCACTTTGAGACGATTCGAAGGTGTGATACAGGACAATATCAAACGCGAGGATTATTATGATTATTATGATTAAAATAAAAAGCAGGTGTGCCTGAATGTGACTCGTAAATCCAACTGTGAAACTGAAGCAGGCAGCGAGGGGCAGCTTTTGCCAACGTGTCTGACCGCAGCTTGTGAAGGGCGTTTGGGAGTGAAGAGGTTAAGAGTTATTAAATTGGCATTTTGATCAGGTGACTTTGCTAGTGATTTATTTTAGACCGGGACTCGATGGCTTTGGGGGCGTTGGGGTGGGGGGGGGGGGGAGAGAGAAAGAGAACGCTGGATTTCTTGGTGAAACCCAACACAATGCACCAAAAACACAAGTGTAATACACGGACAGTGATCAGCAAAGGGAAGTTCCCAGCGATGTGGAGTTAAACTGAGCCGTGTTTCCACACCGAGCAAATTTGGTGGATCCTTAACACGTCCCAAATCCCACCCTGGGAAATTTGACTCCCGAAAGCGAAACACACGGCGACGAGCAAAACGCACGAAACTGCGCGTGTAAATACAGACAGAGAGACGCGGCGGCTTGTTAACCTGAGCCGGGCTGTGTGTGAGCAGAGGGAGTGAGGTCAGGGGGTGGTGGATGTGCCGGCCAGCACTGGCGTATACCAGAGGTGAGAGAGGAGGAGAATGGAGAGGGACACACAGACTCTCAACGACGACTTGTATTTATCTAGCGCTCCTCGTGCAGTAGCGTCCCGGAGCGCTGGACAGTGGTGGAGCTTGACGCCGCTGAGCCAGGAGGAGAGGTGGGGGGAAGGTGACCGTAAGCATCATCAACAAGAGAGAGGAAGGCCTTTAGGCAGGATTTAAAGGTGGGGAGGGAGGGGGCGAGGCGGAGGGATTGAGGGAGGGAGTTCTGGCTGTTTACTCTCCAGCACAAACCCTCACTGGGACACTGCTCCCTGCACAGGGGGAGTGAGCGCATGGTTACAGCCAGGCCAGGATGCTGAGTTTGCTCTGCACCAGCCTATAAATCACTGTGTCGCTGGCGATTACATTAAGGCAACAGTTCAGCTATTGTTTGAGCAGGTCTACGTTATGAGCTGAGACGGAGTATGTTACTCAGTCACCCTGAGTGAGCCAGTAATTGTGTGGTTAGGGCTTGTGTTTCTGCGTGGGTGGCCAGCAGGGAGATCTGGTTGCCCAGGCCGCTAAATGAGTTGGTTAATGAAACTTTCAGGGCGGTTGGGATGTGTTATTAGCTGATAGATGTTTGTCTTTTGGCTCCTCTATGTTATGACATTGGCACTTGGTCCTTTAGGCTGATCACTGCCGGTCTCTGTAGACAGTTACACACCTCTGTTTACCTTACAGTAAGTAGGAACCTGGTTGTTAGTCGATTGCTTTTCTGGGGGGTAATAATCCCTCTACATTTTTTAAAATAATTTGGTCACTGAATCCACAACTGTTTGTGGGACACTGTGCAATTGGCTGTCGCGTTTCGCCCACAAATATACAGTTACTACGCTTTACAATATATCCTGTGAAGCGCTTTGAGACGTCTCGACAATGTGATAAGGCGTCGTATCAAATGCCAGGATCATTATTATTACAAGGGTCAGATGTCCTAACTGAGAAGCCGCTTTGAGAACAATGGTACTGTACGATTTTTTTGAATGCCATTGCACTGATGTTCGATGGGAGTCTGTCTGTCTTCGGGGTGAAGGCGAGAGGCGGGTTGGAGTTTACAGCAATGGCTGACTGCTTGCTGCATTGCTTCAATCTATCAGCGAGCTGGCTATCAGCTAAACCGTCCGTCCATTCATTCCTCAGCCTGAGGAAGAGATCTGTTTTGCACCTTATGTTGTCGCTGCATAAACCCTGGTCTCTCCCCCACCCCACCCCCAGCTATTTCACTTGCTATTCAATCCCAATTTATAACTGATGATATTACACTGGGGGGAAGGAAGGATGAGTGAGGGGAGTGGGGAGGGACAGAGAGAGAGAGAGAGAGAGCGTGAAAGGCAGACACAGAGAAATAAAAGATAGAGAGAGAGAGAGAGCGAGAGTGTAAGAGAGGCAGACACAGAGAGGACAGAGAAAGAAGAGCTAGAGGGAGAGAGAAAGAGAAAGAGAGAAGATGGAGAGAGAAACAAGAGACAGAGAGTTAAAGAGAGACAATCAGAGAGAGATAGACACACACACAAAGAGATACAGAGCGAGAGAGATAAAAATACACCTCCAAACGCCCTTGTCAATATATTATTGTGTATAAAAGCTTCACTGATGAACGGTATCAGTGGTTTGAGGAGAGATTCAGTAATCAGACGTGTGTGTTTTTAATGTTGGCCAAATTTCTATCAGATCCTCATAATGTGAGACGTTTTGATGTTACAATCAATGGATTTCTGCAGGGAAACTCCTAAATTAGGGCACTTCAAAATAATTATAATATGCTGGGCTGGGCGAGGGGGGGCTGGGCGAGGGAGAAGAGAGGGGGTGGGGACTGGGCGAGGGGGGCCTGGCTCTGGGGGAAAGGGGGTATGGGAGTGGTATTGGGGGAGAGGGGTGGAGGCTGGGCAAAGGGGGCTGGGACGGTGGGGGAGAGGGGTGGGGGCTGGTGGGTAAAGGGGGGGAGAAAGTGGGGGAGATGAGATGGGGGGGTTGTCAGGCGAGTGGGTGGGAGGTGTTAGGGGAGGGGTTGGGCGATGGCAATCGTCAGCCAGTGGACAAAGGGGTGGGCACAGGGGTGCGGGCCAGTCAGTGAGCAAGGGGGTGGGGGCTGGGGGAGAGGGGATGGGTGTCAGACAGGGAGGGGAGAGTCAGTGGGTGAATAGGGGGGGGGGGTGGGGGGCACTGGGGGTGAGCACCAGGCGAGGCTGCAATACATATTAATGATATAACAAGACGGGGAAAGATGACTCCGTTCCTCTGGCTTGTGTTTCACACTCCGTGTGGGATCAACAGTTGGATGGATTGCAAATTCAGGACGTCTTTAAGCTGAGAATGTTTCCCCAACTGCTTAATAAATGATGGAACATCGAAGGCAACAGCAGAACAAGCACAGACACACACACAGCCACATACACACAGCCACAGCTACACACACGGCCACATACACACACAGCCACATACACACACAGCCACATACACACACAGCCACATACACACAGCTACACACACAGCCACATACACACAGCCACAGCTACACACAGACACACACACAGCCACATACACACAGCCACAGCTACACACACAGCCACATACACACAGCCACAGCTACACACACAGCCACATACACACAGCTACACACACAGCCACATACACACAGCCACAGCTACACACAGCCACATACACACAGCCACATACACAGCCACAGCTACACACACAGCCACATACACACAGCCACAGCTACACACGGCCACACACACAGCTACACACACACCAGCTACACACACCACAGCTACACCACAGCTACACACACAGCCACATACACACACCACAGCTACACACACAGCACAGCCACAGCTACACACAGCCACAGCTACACACACAGCCACATACACACAGCCACAGCTACACACACAGCCACATACACACAGCTACACACACAGCCACATACACACAGCCACAGCTACACACAGCCACATACACACAGCCACATACACACAGCCACAGCTACACACACAGCCACAGCTACACACACGGCCACATACACACAGCCACAGCTACACACACAGCCACATACACACAGCCACAGCTACACACACAGCCACATACACACAGCCACAGCTACACACAGACACACACACAGCCACATACACACAGACACACACACAGCCACAGCTACACACACAGCCACATACACACAGCCACAGCTACACAGACACACACACAGCCACATACACACAGCCACAGCTACACACACAGCCACATACACAGCCACAGCTACACACACAGCCACAGCTACACACACACACACACACACGGACAGGCTGAGCTGTACTGCAGCCTCACGTTTTTGTACGCAGAGACAGAGACAGAGACGGGAGGAGCCATTTGCTGGGCTGTTTCATATCACTGACTGACTGCCCAGAGGTTGGA